TAATGATTCTATGATTCTATGAAATACATGGATTTAGGAATTGGCCATAGAGGATGAATAGGATCTGCTAGAACATAATGACCAAAGGACAAGTGAATCTAGAATAATGTCACACATGGAAACAGAAAGTGAAGGGTGGAGAACTATCAAGGCAGAGATCACTGAATGGACATGGGTTATTGCAGCAATACAGAAACTCATGAACAAGAGCCTGAACTCAGTGGTGTTGGAATAGCATAAGATTAGAGAATGTCCTATCCCTTTTGTCCAGAAGAAAGTTACTGTTGGCCTTGTCTGTAGTGTCAGCACAAGAGAAATGCTGCAAAGTGAGTGGAGGTGTGAATTAGAGGACATGTATAGGTTACAGAAGAAAATGGTCCACTCTTGGACAGTATGTTGGAGAAGGAAGGTAAGACAACAATAGTGAGTTGTGAGGAAAGGAAAAGGAATTGGAGACAGGAGAGCTTACAACCTTCATTTGGAGAAAGTGATGAGAGACAGACTGTATGATAAAAGTCAAGAAGGTATAAGAACAATTAGGTAGACTGTAGGAGTAATATGCTGGCATCGGATCATGTGAAGGAGGAGAACTCAGACAGGAAAACTGGCAAAGGGATGATAGGGTTGGAATGGGAAAGGACCTCTCAGGTTGTATCGGTTTCTGGCAAGATCATAAAGAAAAAGAGGACTTGAAGGAACAGAGAGATGAAAGAACATGAGCACCAGTGACCATAGTGTCAGATTAGGGAGATCCCAGAGTCAGCCATAGTACTTGTTTACTATAGCAAAGGCTAAGAAAAGAGAGGGGAGAGCTCAGTAAAGGAAGCTGACACCTGATGGTGGATTTGAATTGCCCCCCCTATTCTGGGGTCAATAAACATGATTATAGAAAAACGTGAATGTGCACCACAGCTGTGAGTACCTGTTGAATGCAAGATTCACTTGCTGAGCATAAGCATACCTTAGTGTTTTATATGTTTGTGTGTGTTTGGTAAACAATTTTAATTTTGCTTTTTTTTTTTTAATGTTTCAGGTTCGTGGGAGTAAAGGTGAGGTCCTTTATATCCTGGATGCAAGCAATCCACGCCATTCTAATTGGCTGCGTTTTGTCCATGAGGCTCCATCACAGGAACAGAAGAACCTGGCAGCCATCCAGGTAGATTTGGTGGATTCCTACCATTTGCTCCCTGTTATTGACTTACTAATTTGATCTCTTCTTTGGTCTTTATCTCTTGCAGTAACATTGCAAGATCTGAGAAAAGTAGCAATCTGCTTTCCTTTTCCTGCCTTTCTTTTTAGAAGTGAAATCTTGTGCTTAAATATAATACCATAAATTCATAGGATGAAAGACCAAAGAGGTCCTTAGTTAGAATCTGATATTCTTTGAAAGGTTTATATTAAGCCACTGTGGTAGAATTGCACTGAATCACTTATGTGAAGTATTTCTTCTGGCTTAAAGTGAACAGTTTACATTATAAAAAAAAAAAGGAGGTAATTTCCAGAGTAGTTAACTCACTACTGTAATAACAGTTTCATTTTCTCACTACAGCCTTATTCAGTCAAGTTAAGCTTTTGCCTGAATGTTGTTGTTTTCTTGTCATTGTGGAAGTGAAAAAGATAACTAGGTAACTATATACCTGGCTGAATCAGAATTAGTGATTTAGAGGCCTGGTTGTGTTTCATGCCGAACTCAGGTATGGGCTTAGGTGTGTGGAAAGCAGAATCATGCATTTGCTTTATAGCTTAAAATTTAATATAAAAGTGTGACAGATTTGAAAGGAAGTGTGGTGCTTAAAATATTCCAGTAGAAAATGGAATTGAAGGATCTAATTATCTGATAGGATGATCAGGCAGTGCTTGATGATAAATTAATAAAAAAAGATAATTTTCTTTTTCTAGTCTTGGCCGTGGATCTGAATTTATCCAGCTTATTTTTACATTTTTATATTTGTTATTTGCAGCATTCTGTGGTAATCAGTTTCACTGTTTTAATTACACATGTTGAAACATGCTTCTGTTTTTCTTCTAGAAACTTTTTAGTTTCACTTGATTCCCTAGTCCTTGTATAACAGTGAATAGTTACTTTATGTTCATTTTTCTATGCCATCCTTGATTTTACAGAACCCTATTATATCCTTTCCCTCTTATGACAGCTGTTTTCTTAAGCTGAAGAGTCTTTGTCTAATCTCTCATTTTTGGAAGCATTCTGTGACTTTGCAGAATGCAACAAAGACAGTGATATTTTTCTAGTTGCAGCTACTGTCCTTTTGGAGATTATGAAAGAAGTGAACTATCTGCATGTTTTTTTTCAACAGCTTATTTTTACAGTAAAATAATTTTCAATCCCACATAAGTAAGAATGACATAGCTGTGTTAAATTTTTTACTCAAAATGTATATTTTCTAAAATGTTGTTTCAGACTAACCCAAACTATTTGCTGATGTAATCCAAATTTGCAAAAAATTAGGAAAAGAAGAATTATTTATCAGCATTTCTTAAAATTATTATTCTGCTTTTTCATCATGAGATGACTTTTCTAGGATTTGCTCGCAGATCCTTGAGAAAAATATTTAAAAAGATAGTTTTTTGAGGCCAAACAAACAAATTTTTCCTTGCCAAGAAAACAAAGTTCATTTCTGAAGTTAAACAGAGAAAAAAATTTCAAACTATTAAGCAGACAAAGAATACTAGTAAAGCCCTACCATGTTGCTCTGTGAAAGATGCATTGCTGCTGTTCTCCACCCTGTCCCTTCCCTCTATTCGTACCCAGTGGCACTCAGCTCTAGTAATTTCAGTTTCTGTGTTGATGACCTGTCCAACTCCTTAAATCTCCTACTCACCAGAGGGATGGTTTGCTTATTTGGACCTTAATCAAGCACTGCCCAGGGAGATTGCTGCTGCCAGTTCCCCTGCAGAGCTGGTATCAGTCTCCCTCTTCCTGTCCCAGTTGTGAACTTCTCTGTGATTTCCATTCCACTGCTGTTATCTCCTACCACACCTCTTCTACCTGGCTTTTCTTCCATCATCACAATATTTGAATGCTACTATTAGCAGTGTACTGCGTTGGGAAACCTAACTGGTTACTTGTCAGCCTTCACTTGATTTTTACCTCCTACTTTTCAAAGCTCTAGTTTTATTGAATGTCAGCCTGTGACATTCCATCGTATGTTGCTGGCTGAACATAACTGCAGTTTTGCTGCTGATATTGTTTTCTTGGACCTTGTTGCTGTTCCTGTTTTAGGTCACTGTGGACAGCCATGTCATCTGCTTTTCCTCTAGGCCCGTACTCTAGGGAGTCGTCTTTTGTTCAGACCTCTTAGACTTAACATCCAGGCTGCAATTGAATTTTGAGTAACGGATGAGAAAAAGTGTTCACTGTTCATCCATCCGGCAAAAACTCTTGTCAGCACTGACTGAATGACTGCTTTATTATGCTTTTCCTAATGTCTATGACAAATCAGTGCTTAATTTAGTATGACCACTGCCTATGCAATTATTCCTGTATGCTTTCCTTCTGTCTTTGTCTCTTGGTTATGCCAAGATCTATCAAAAGATTTGTTGTCCTGCTTATAGTACCAAATATGAAAGGTCCTCATACAAGAGGAGTCTTAGGCATTAGTCAGTGATTAGCATGTCGTCAGTGCACAGGCGGTGTGATAACAAATTACAGGCAATGTTAGCAAATGCAAAATAGGGTTCACAAGAGGGAGCAGTGTGAACAATTAATGTTCATTATTAGGTTTTAAATAAAACAGTAAAATGACCTGAACTTCTGAATAGAAGTTTTGATGGAATATCCAATGCATACCAGTGTTTTTTTTGATAATGAAAATGATTATTTAAATAAAGAAATGGAAAGAAACTGTTATGCTCTATTGCATAATATTATACCTTGCTTAGATATTGCTTAGTGTGTTTTGCATGCCTTTTTAAAGGATCACACCGGAGTTAAAGGATGGTTTAAAAAGAAGAAAGAATAGCAAGAATATTAGTCCTATGAATGCTTCTACAGAAGAACATTTGGAAGAATTCCAGGGCAAAATAGAATAAACATGATCAGCATGTACAAAGTGATGAAAAGTATAGGGAAGGCAAACTTAACGAAAACAGACCAAAATTTACTAAATTGTCTCTTAGGTTTTTTTAGTACCATCAATAATCAGCTGCCAAAGTAACTTGTATATTCTGTGTGAATGACCTTGAAGCTGTGTAGATACGTACAGATGTATAAGTATTTAATTGCATATAACATGAGTAGGTACTACTTGTGTTGAAAAAAGCTGAATATGTATGTGTTTCTTTGCAGAGTTTGATCTCGCTTTAGTAGATGGAGATGCAAATCCCAAAAGTCTACTATTCCTTTAGGGGAGAAAAAAAAAAGCAAACCAAAACCAACACAGTATACACTTGAGTATTTTAATTCTACACTCTTTGCCTTTAATGATAAGCAGATTTAAGACCACTTGGTGCAGTAGCACTTTGTTTTATGAAAACAGTGGGCAAAACATTGGTGAAATGTTTCCACTAACAGTACCCTTTAATTTGAATTGAGAGTTGCCTGCTTGCCATCAAGATGATAAAATGATGTTTTACAAAGAGGAAGAAGTTATGAATGACATCAGTAAAGTTGTTTTAACTTCACTATCATTACTCAAGTTAATGTGGCTGAAAAAAAAATTGCATTGCTGAGCAAGTAACTAAAATAATTAAAAAAATAGAAGAATTCGTAATACAGATTATGACATCAAGCAAAAAAAATTCCTATCCTTAAACTAACTGAATGATTACATATTGTGTAATAGAGTAGAATATGTCTGCATAGTTACAGAAAGGATGAATTTACTAACTAAGAGGAGAAAATAGAATATTTAGAGATGGTTAGAGACTTTGTATTCTAACCAGCACGTTATAATTACCCTTGTAAATTTTCTCCAGACATTTGTATTTTATGAAGATTTTTGTGGGGTTGGCTGAATTTTTAAACAAGTATTTGATTTTTCTCTCTCAGTTCTACTGCTTACTCTGTGAAGAGTAGTGAATCTCACAAGCTAAAATTGATTAAGAATATTTGACCAAGATTAATGATACTAGCCTATAAAATGTGAAAATAAAGTAAACCACAGTGGTAGAACAGGGGCTTCTCTTGCTTGTCCTAAGTCTGTTCTATGAATACTTAAGAACTTAACACTGGTTGTATGCTTCACAGCTGCCCCTCTGCAATTTTCCAGGAGACTTTGTATGAACTAACAAAAATGTGAACAAAAAATAATGATTTCCTTGTTTATACCCACTAATGATAATTTCTGCTAATTATCTTTCCCACTAGCTTTCTTTCCAGTCTCCAAATACTCCCAGCAGGAGCTTTTTGGTCTACTCTGAGAACATTTCCAATCCTGATGGCATCACTCTAATAGTGATAAACATTATAATCTCATATCTGAAATAAAGTGATTGATAATCATTATTTGCTGCCTAGTGCTCAGTATTCAGTTTAAAAGAAGATGAAGTGAATGTGTATGTCCCTGTATACAAATAAAATAAACCACATCCTGGGTTGACTGCAAAATGTGATTAGTTCATCATAGCTTAATTGTACTCAATGATCATGTTTAGACTGTGCAAAATGCTTCCTGTGGTGAAAAAGCAACTTAGAGGACATGGGATTTTTTTTAAGTAAGTTTGGTGATGTGGTGGTTTGGGTTTTTTTGGGGGATTTTTTTGTTTTGTTTTGGGGAGGTGTGGGTCTATGTTTTGTGTGTTGTTTTTGGTGTTGGTTGGTTGGTTTGGTTTTTTTCCCTTTCTCCCTGTAATGCTATGTATTTTGTAAACCCCTGGTTCTAGTGGGTGCTCTTGGTGGTGTCGTGGGGAGTATTCTGAGTGCTGAGTTCTGCCTCGGCTCCTGCGGGGAGCTGTGGTGTTTGGGTCGGCTTTGCCTGGGAAGGTACAGGCAGTATTTTTAACAGCTGTGCGGTGAGGAATACTGCTATGTGGCTGCTAGAGAAGGATGGAAAGGTTGGAGTGTACCTGCTGAGACCAATTGCTTTTCTGAGCATTTTGCACAGCTGAATTGCTGGAGGCTTCTCTAGCTTATTTCAAGTAGTAATTGAATGTGTTAATACTCTACTATATTTAAAGTAGCTTTAGAACTACAACTTT